GCAAACTAAACTGCGGCAATTTTTTGGACTAGTTGATACGCTTCTATATGCGAAGATATCAACGTGTATTTTGGATTGTACTCTTTACACATCATATGTGGGATTTCTTGAATAAAAAGCTTTAAGAACGAAAGTTTAAAACTTAAGTTTTTTGAAAATTGTGATTTTTGAAAATCAACAAAAAAAATTTTTGTCACGAAGTTAGAAGGCAGTGGAATTTTTCAAGGCGTCGTACAAAGAGATTTGTCTGCACTGCAATAAAACGCAGCTTTGGAAAATTGAAAGTTAATTGGAAGAAGACAGACCAGATCAGCGCAAAGGCCTGATTGACCCGACAACCTGTAATATTTATGATGCAGTTTTGTATTTAATCTCGTCATTTTCTTTGAAAACAAAATAATAACGTTTTTAATAAAAAGTTTCTTTAATTTGTTTATTTTTTCACAGTTTTTGGTTTAAATAGTTTAATAGAAATATTGAAATCTTTCACTTACCCATTCACCATCGCGCGGTCAAAATCAGGAGATAACATGTGAATAAGTTAGCTTCTCTCAAAGCAAATAGAAAAAATTTTTGGGCCGGAATACTTCGGTAATTGCTCTACACCTTGTGAGACAGCTTTGCCTTGTTAAATTGTCCAGAAATGGCCCATTTTGCAAATTTAAAGAAGCACCCAAATCATCATCCCCTGTTTACCGCCCCCCCCCCCCCTGTTCATCATCCCCTGTTTACCATCCGCTGTTTACCGACCTCATTAAACTTCATCATCCCCTGTCTTCATCATCCCCTGTTCATCATCCCCTGTTCATCATCCCCTGATTACCGCCCCCACTAAACCACCCCCTTTTACTTCACCAAACTCCAATGCGTTCAACCGACCTCATTGTCCCCTGTTTACCGCCCCCATTAAAGTCATCCCTTTTTACATCACCAAACTCAAAATCGTTTACCGATACCGCAAACCCCCCCTAGTTTAAAATCGCTCACGTTGATCTCCCCCGGGGTATTCATGGGGGTACGTGGGTCATACGAGGGGTGGGTCAAATGTCGACAAGGAGGGACTGATTTACGGAGAGTGTAATTAAAGTCCACCAGCAAAAACGAAAATTAGGAAAATTGCAACAGGAAAAAATCGAAAACAAAGAAAAATCAATTTTCAAATACACTGTATACACTGACCAAAATCCACTCTAAAAATGATCATATCATACTCCATTCTAATTGATTATCATCGATTAGAAAAAGTTTTATTCATATCCAAAAACTAGTACAAAATTTTACTATCTTTAAAACTAAAACTACAGTGCGTGATTATTTTTTTCGATCCCTCAAATTAAAATTACAGACTAGATTCAACATTGCTGCATTGTCCTCCAGAAGCAGTGTAAGAGAAGAAGTCATTTTAATACCATTCTTCTAAAATTTTGATCCCTTTCCGTATCAAGTTGTACACAAAATATTTGCTCCAGTTTTTGGAGACAGTTTTGAGCTATTTATGCTGTTTGGTTACTGAGACAAATTTTGGTTTTTTCACCAGCACTGTTCAAGGGATTCGCAATACATCACCTGGAAATTGTGGGGGTTTGACAGTTGCCATTTTTATCAAAAAGGGATAGTTAACGCGCGATTTTTGTTTCATTCTTTCATCGAGTAAGTGGCGAAATATTCTAACTCAGAAATGCTTGCAAACTAAACTGCGGCAATTTTTTGGACTAGTTGATACGCTTCTATATGCGAAGATATCAACGTGTATTTTGGATTGTACTCTTTACACATCATATGTGGGATTTCTTGAATAAAAAGCTTTAAGAACGAAAGTTTAAAACTTAAGTTTTTTGAAAATTGTGATTTTTGAAAATCAACAAAAAAATTTTTGTCACGAAGTTAGAAGGCAGTGGAATTTTTCAAAGCGTCGTACAAAGAGATTTGTCTGCACTGCAATAAAACGCAGCTTTGGAAAATTGAAAGTTAATTGGAAGAAGACAGACCAGATCAGCGCAAAGGCCTGATTGACCCGACAACCTGTAATATTTATGATGCAGTTTTGTATTTAATCTCGCCATTTCCTTTGAAAACAAAATAATAACGTTTTTAATAAAAATTATCTTTAAATTGTTTATTCTTTAATTTATTACATTCACAGTTTTTGGTTTAAATAGTTTAATAGAAATATTGAAATCTTTCACTTACCCATTCACCATCGCGCGGTCAAAATCAGGAGATAACATATGAATAAGTTAGCTTCTCTCAAAGCAAATAAAAAAAAGTTTGGGCCGGAATACTTCGGTAATTGCTCTACACCTTGTGAGACAGCTTTGCCTTGTTAAATTGTCCAGAAATGGCCTATTTTGCAAATTTAAAGAAGCACCCAAATTATCAAAATTACAAAAAATGGTAGCAGTTCAAACATAGCTTCAATTTCTAGTGCAAGGAATCATGATTTTTCAGAGTATTTGTCTAAAATACTCCAGAAAAAATTGTTAAGAAACACTCCAGGCACAAATATTTTTTCGATTTTTTGTTATTCTCTTCAAGAATATTTGAATTGACAGACTACTTTATGACAAATTTTATTTTTATCGACTGAGAGATTTTGTTCTTTCGTTTGAGCTCAAAATGAAACAAGACTGCTCGTATCAGGTCGAAGCCCTGAGTGCTCCGACTGCTTTTTAAGGTTTCAGGTGCATTAATAACCTAAAAAATTTTAACGTAATAAAATTTATAAATTTTTTTCTAAAATTTGAATTTTTTAATGAAACTCATCTGCCCACACGCCATATTTAGTACAAAAAGATAGACTTCGCTCCTTTTAACAAATCAATTATGGCAAATAAGCTTCTTTCAACCAGTTTGGAACGATTTCTAAGACGGATTAAATATCCGCTTACGCGTAAATAGCGCGAAATATATCGCGCGTTAATTGTCCCAAACTGCCCAAAATGGCAATCTTTAAACTCCCATAACTTTGCAAAAAATGATTCTCAAGACAACAATAACTTTCGAATGATTTGAAAAAATTCCGTCAAAAATGGCTAGTTAAAAGTCGAAGTTTGTCCAAAGAAAAACCCCGAGCACAAATATTCCGTTACTTTCGCATCGAAAGTCGGAACAAGAAAATTTTAGTATTATTTTTAAATTTCGCTTTTGCAGTTTCACTTGGGAACTAACTTACACAGCATGGGACAATTAACGCGTGATAGAGTTGTACAATTAAAACATAGGTTGCAAATTTAATCACTCCAAACTAATTTGAGACGAGCAACTTGCTCTAACTCATGTTGTCCAGAAACAAAATATATTAATTTGTATTTATAGTCGCATTAGCGCTCATAAGCGAAGTTAAGAAATACATATGGCAAAAAAAACTCAAAAATTGTTTCGAATTTTAAATTAATTTTTTACCAAAAAATTTCTTCCTTGCTGATGAATGTTAGTCAGACAACTACTGATACGAGCAGTCTTGTTTTTTTATCACGTGTACCCATTTTGATTTTTTAAATTATATGTGCGAACTAGATATACAGAAACATTGAATGAAAGATACCCAAAATCTTGAGCATGGCCGCTCGGAAAGCAATTACTTAGCCGCAAACTTAATTGTTTGCACACTTGTTGCGTGACATAATTTTGACATGCGAAGAGCTTTGATATAAACTGCTATATTATCAACTAAAAATTAAAAAGAAAACACTTGTCAAAACCACTATATGCATTTAAAGTAAGGATATCACAGAATGTTCCGACCAGTCTTAAAAAATTATTACAACAAACTTTTTTTTTAAAGTAGTGTCATTTTTTGGCGTGGTGTGACAAAAAATTTGAGCAAAAAAAGTAGAACTTAGGCATTTTCGTCAGTCATTGTAAAATACGCAAATTGGAAATTAATTTTTGAAGACAATTAACAAGAAAACAAAAAAAATGAAAAAAAAAACAACTTTAATTTTTTTTTTAATTTTTCAAATGTTTTCTTAAACTTTAAAGTTTAGATTCCTAACATGAAGCTGAAAACTCCAAAAAGTATTACTCCAACTAAACTTCATTCGAGTATAACTCTATCTTTTTGATGCTTGAAATAAGCATAAATAAGCTAATAAAAGCATGCTCACTGGCTCGAAATTAGACGAAAAATCAAAAATTTCAAACCGGTTTTTCTCAACAGTGGGAAATGTGCTTCGAATCCCGACTAAAAGGGTTTTAATCTGATATATCACTGAACCAAGTCCAATGATTATTTGTGGGAGCTGATTTTCCGTGGAAAACAAAAAGAAGGAAAAAATTAAAACACACCCAAATATAAAACTGAGGCATAGAACCTGATTTTCCGTTGAAAACAAAAAGAAGAAAAAAACTAAAACACACTCAAATATAAAACCAGTCAGCGATAAGCATTAAGAAACAAGAAACACGAATTCTAATATTTGATCAATGATGAAAACACTGTTTCGGTGATTTCAAATGCATAAACTATGCGGACATTTTCAACACTATGCATGGTAGATGAAATATAGTCTTCACAGTTTCAATCAGGATTTTTTGGTCGCCGCAGTTGGAATGGAATTTGTAAACTTCGTCTGGACCCGAACTTTTGTGGTCCCTACGGTCCGGACAACTTTTTTCAGTTCCCCATGGATTGTGGTCAACACTCACAATCTGAGCTCGTGTTCCTTAGGTATTCCGAATATCCACCTATTGGTTTGTTTTTGAAAAACCTGGTTTTCTTAATCCAAATTATTCCAAATCGGGCCCAATATTGGTTTTTTGATTTCCTCACAAAGGTTCATAATTGAAGCGAATAATATATCTTTAGCGTTGCAAGAGAGCTTGGAAATTTAATGAGACAGGACCACCAAAATAAATTTGTTATTTTTTACAATTACGTTACCGTCTTTAAAACCAGTTAAGCTTCCTTGAAATAATTTAATTTCGAAAAATATTTTTGGGCCTGCAATTATTGGCAAATATCAATGTTTATGTATTGACCATGATCTGCATGTGCATAGGAGTCATCAATGGGATGGCAGAGGTGGTGGCATTCTCAGTGTCCAAAGACTCGTCGATGAAGAGACCAAAGAGAGAACAGAAGATAGAGTTCGACAACGTAACTGAACAAAATCCTTCACACTTAGTAAAAAGTGACAATTTTTACAAAAATTGTCAATTTCGACAGTTTTTTTGAAAATCTGCCCCCCCCACCCCCCCCCCCCCCCCCTCAAGAAAATCCTTGATCCTACACTTTAACCGTATGTCTCCTTTTCTGCAGCACCTCGACCAATCCATGCTTCCCCTGAAAATCAATTTTTTTTCCATGGAATCTCGGGTACCTAAGAGTTGATGTATAGTTTTGTCATCATGGTGGCATTTGGAGTTGTTTAGGTGGATGTGAACGTGGGCGGTCACTTCAACAGGACCAGCCGGAGTGACTTCACAGCCCCAGTGTCCGGACTGTACTTCATGACCCTCACTGTGGGCAGGATGAGTGATGACCTCTATGTCCGAGTAGTCTCGGGGGGCTTCACTAAATTCGCCCTGCAGTCCATGGGATACCCCACCACTGGCGCACAGAAAGTCCCCCTCATTATGGTACGCACAAACTGATCTCCTCGCGAACCTAACAAGGAGCATATGTTATGTCATACTAATATATGTTACGTCATATATGTTATGTCCAGTTAGGGCATACTAATGAGTTATATAATAATAATGGCAAACTGTTTCCAAACGATATCTAGGTACAGAGTGTTGTATATAACTTTACACAACAAATATGCATCGTTTGAGAGAGCACCATTAGGCCAGCAAGGCTCGTTTGCCGCTCGAACTATAGAGGTCTGAAGCTTTTTTTTGTTGTGATAGCGTCTCCTATAGTCATGAAAGCACCCTTTGATTTTCTATGGTTCTATTGTTTGAAGAGCAAACCTGTTTACTTGAGAAGTATTAAGCTGTCTTTGGCCGGCAGCATGTTAGCTTCAAATTAACCATGGATTTCTTTGACATAGTATGGCATGGTAGATATAGCACGAGCAGAAATGAAATAGGGGAAGGTGTGGGCTGTTGGCTGCTTTGACCCGCCTGCCCGCCCAAAGAGCCTCACTTCTTGTAATCTTTTGATAAACCCACCTTAAATTTTTTTAATACAAATATCTTTAAAATTTTAAATAATTTTTCAGGGGAAGCGCGGAAAAACACTAGACTGCAGTCAACACCTTTCAAAAAATTGACCTTAAATGTCTTTTTTTTGCCGGTTGTTTCTTTTAAAATTCAACTGTAACGTAGAATAGGATCATTACATAATTTTAGAATTTCAGTTGGTCAAAATAAAAAAGTTTGTTAAAATTTTCGAAAACTTTTTGAAAATCTATCACCCTTCGAGAAAATCCCGGTACCCAGGTTGACCTCCATACACCGAAAATGCTTATCATACAATTCCATTCATCAATTTTATGGAAAACTGCTTGTCAAACAATTTTCATACAATTTCAAAAAATCATTGGAAAAAGATTCGGACTTATTTCTGCGGCTATATGATCGAATTAATACAGTCTGGTGATACATATACGAAAAATGTATGACAAGCGTTTTTCCATAAAAAGCAAACTTTTTACAAAACTTTCGAAAATTGTTTGTAATCAAGTTTTAATTAGTTAGGAGCATTTTTGCTTCATTGAGAGCACTTCAAAAACAAAATTTTACTTTTTAGCTAAAAATTGCTTGTCATACAGTTTCCATATATGATATTTGTATAACAAGCATTTTTTTCCCAGAATCTTTCAGCATACCAGAAGTTCTTAGGAAATGTTTTTCAAACAATTTCTAACCATTTTAGTCATACAATTTTCATATATGGAAAAATGTTTATCATAAAGATTTCATACAATTTTCTGTACGCATGGAAGTATATGGAATACGCATGGAAGTTAACATTTTTTAATTATATTTTTTCAGATGACTAACTCGGCCATAGTGCAGATGAATGCGGGAGACTCGGTGGCCTGCTACTTGGCAGCCGGCAACTCCATCGAGAGCAAGTTCGGAACCACCACCTGGAACGCATTCCTCCTGTCCCCCTCTGCATTCCCTCACTCCAGGGGGACTACTGGGAACTAAAGCAGAGTCAGATCACTGGAAAACTAATTAACTCTCGGAGGCTATTTCTGTTATGCGGATAAAAAAGTAGTTTGTCGCTTTTTTGGAAGTTGGATAACAATAATTGATTTTGATTGGCAACCAATCGAATATCCCGAAGACTTCATCTAATAATAGTCAATTTTAAAACGGAATCACAGTTCGGTGATTTTAATGAGGATGTTTGTAAACTTCAAATCTGATAGACTTAAGGTCGTTTTAAACAGCGCTGTATTTAGCGGGGGCTAGAAGGCGGACTTGCGCCCTCCGGGTATTGGACCCTATCACCACCCAAAGGGTCGCCTCTTTGGTACTGATTTAGGGCATTCAATTTTGGCTGGTCTACACTTAAAGTTTTTTAACGGCGCTTTAATTTTCTAATCGTAATTTGGTAGAGCTCAGAGTCCGGAAAGTTAATTTGGTCGACCTAAAAAAACTGTATAAAATTCCGCCCACCTTGAAAAAATCCAAGAGCCGCCCCTGGCTTTCAATCTTCTGTTCTTATATCATATTCGGATTCACTTTGAAGTAATCACTCAATTACAGTATCCAAGTTTTATTATAGCAGCCATACTGAAGAAAGTGAATGACTCAAATATGCATGAGAAATAAAATTTACAGCTTTATTTTCTTTCTAGTGGAATTGACCCGAGCGAAAATTCAAACTAAACTGTTCGTACCAGGAGGAAATCTTGAATTTGGCAGGGTGTGCCCCGTAATGTTGATCAAAACTTTTTGATTTCTTTTTAATATGTCAAAAAAAGTTGAAAAATTTGAATATTGCTTTTTACATTTTTTTTTCACTTTTATCTCCACGCCCTAAGTACCAAACAAAGTGAATTATTTTACGCCTGAAACTAGTATGATATGGAAAATGGCTGACATCAGTTCAATTTGGAATGATTTTACACTTTAAAAAGACGAAACATGTCAGAAGTTGTTCATCCCACTTTTAGTTGTTATCGTCATAAAAGCCTCTAATTCAAACCATCATAACTTTTTGAAAGAAGGTCACAGATGAAATTTTTTAAAAACTATTGAGCGTTTCGTACTTTGCTGATCAAACAATTAAAAAGTCTGGAGACAAAATGTCGCACCGACTACAAAGAAAACATTCCGTGACTTTCTTCGAAAATCGAAACTTAAATCCCCAAAATATCGTATAGGGTTCATTGACTTATTTCATTAAACGAAAAATACCTCCAGCACTCCAGAAACATAGATTAATCCAAAGGAACGGGTAAGCTTTTAAATAAGTTGGCGATAAAGACCCATTGTCGGTGATAAAAAATCATGATGAAGAGCAAAAATTACTCTGATTGATTCGATCGGTTAGTTATTTTTTAAGAACTTTGTAAAAAAATTACCATCTTAAAACCTAAAAAGCTGAATGATCCAAGGGGAATTTTCGAGAGAGCTTGAGAAGAATTGTGAAAAACAATGTACCGTTCTAGTTTTATTTCAGTAGTTATACAGTGCTGATTTAAATTAACCGGACAAAACGCGCTAAACTTGAAACTTTAAACGCGTTTTTCTCAAATTGGGTTGAGTTTAGTTGAAAACTCATGAAGACAAAACTTGCTTAAAGTTTTGGCAGGGTTAATATGGTGAAATTTGTTTTATAGAAATTCGGTACCAGAAGTTTACCCCAAAAATGGGTAATTTTGGCTTTTTTAATTAATCAAAAATTACGCCAAAAACACCCAGTCGATAACAGACATAATTATATCAAAGTGAGCCCCTCACAAAGCCCAAAAAACTTTAAGAAAGGTGAGTTCTCCAAAAAAAATCGTAAACCGTTTAAAATGTGTTGTTAAATAGAAAGTTGGTATTTAAGATAGTGAAAACGACATTTTTTGTCTGTCAAACATTGTCATACTGCTACTGCAATAGCAGTAATTGATTTATGTACTACCAACCTGCAGTGGTATAGTTATTAATATTATGGTGTGTCTAAGGTCATGTGCGAAGTGACATTGACACACGGTTGAGAACTCAGAGTTTTGATTCTGATTTATCTTCAGTAACCAATTAAAAAGAAAAGAAAAGAAAACTTAATTCAATACTTCAGAAAACATTATTGAATTATCACTAGTCTTCCCACGATACCGCATAGGATATCACATCGCGCAGCCAGCAGGATTTGCAGCTCAGGACAATCGGACGGATATGGGAATACCCGTATTTTGGGCGTCAGCGAATTTAGATCCTCCGTGGCAGTTTAAAATTTGGTTTGAATAATTTCTAATGGCAGTTACCGTGAAAGAAAACGTAAATCCAGAGGTTGTATTAGAAGAACCAAAGGACATATTAGAAGAACCCCCTCCACGACCAGAGACACCACGAGAGGGAGAGACTGAAGCTGCGATGACTGTTAGGAATCTTAGAGATAGAGTAATGCTGGAAAATAAGGAGAGAAGAACAAGAGGCCCAAGGGTTGTTCACAATGTTTTCTACAACGAAGTGCAAAAGAAACTGGTATCCAGATTATTTCTGTCACTTGGTACAGAAGGAAAGAAATGATTCTACAGAAGAATCCACATGTCCAATTATCCAAATTGTCGTTCAGGGAAATCACAGAACTTGCAGAAGCCTCGTTCCAAAAGGTAAAGTGTGTAACATATGAAAGATATAAATTGTTCACACGAATGCAAGAATCAGGGGCATCAGTGGAGGCATTTCATGCAGCGCTAACTGCGCAAGCAGCTCGATCAGAATTGGGAACATTGGAGAGCGAGATAGTTCGTGTTCTATTCATTTCGAAAATGAAAAACATGACGTTACAGGACACGTTGACATTTGAAACTCTAGATCCAGAAAAAGTCCTGAAGAGGGCAATAAAATTTGAACATAGCAAATTAACTACAATGGCATTTCAAAAGACAAATGCAGCAGCTACAGGAGGAACAAGTAACAACTATAATTCTGGAGTGAGAATAAAACAAGAACCTGTGATGGCAGTTAGGAATTCGACAGGAACAAAAAATAATCAATGTAATAAAAGGGAAACAAATAAACCACAGAACAGCAACGGAAATTCCAACATGAAAGCATAAACATGCAGCAGATGTGGAAGGATATTCGATCAAGATAATTTGAAAAACTGTTCCGCGATGGGAAAAACTTGTAAGAATTGTGGTAAACCCAATCATTTTGCAAAAGTGTGTAGATCTCAACAAGTAAGTGAGGTTGCGGAAGAATCGGACAGATCCGTAGAGGAGTGTGATCAGATAAGCGAAAGCTTTGGGCCATGTAGCGATTTTGAAGTAATGTTGATACAAAAACATCAGACGGAGAACGAAAGAATCTCAAAATATGTGAAGGACCGAATCAGTGAAAATAGGAAGAAATCAAATGGAGAAAGGATGCAAGTCCAGAAAATCGATTCAATTCGAGACCCAAAGCTGAAAAGAGTAAAATCACTAGAGGCTATGGTACGAATAGATAATCAAATAATACAACTGACGGTGTATACTGGAATTCCAGTCTCTTTCCTAAATTGGGCGACGGCAAAGAAAATAATGGATAAATCAAACAAAGTAAGATTCATTCCGTCGGAAAAACTGAATTTACATACAAAATTCGTTGATTACAACAAACAACCGATCTGTGCATTGGGAGCATTGAAGACGAATCTTCGGTCGGCAGGCTGGGAGGTGAAAGGAGCTACATTTCTTGTGACAGAACGCAACACCAGATGCATAATGGGTTTGGATCTACAAGGACAAGTGTGGATAGTCACTACACAAAAACCAGCTCCAAAAGAATTTACCATGTTTGACGTACTCATGTGCGAGCAGTCGGAAGGTTGGAAGGAAAAGTTTTTCAACAAATTCAGAAATTTATTTGAGAGACAAGGAATTTCAAAAATCCAGATTATAAGTTCGAAATTTAAGTACCCCCTATGTCCAATTCAAGAAAAGGGGAGAAAAATTCCAATTCATATCCAGGATAAGGCCGAGAAAGAAATCGAAAAACTGTTGACAGAAGGTCATATCACAAAGCTTGACAAATGTACAAGCGATTGTTTTATTGCCCCAATTGTGATAACAGTAAAAAAGGACGACTCGATAAAATTGGCGATGGACGCGAAGCCAATAAATAGACAATTGTTCAAAAATAAGTACCAGATACCCAACGTCGATGAACTCATTGATGTAGTAAGTCAAATTGTTACTGAAAACAAAAGTGGCACACTTTATTTCACGGTGTTAGACTTAAAGTACGCGTATAGCCAATTAAAACTGGCTGCAGACACAGCTAAACAGCGTAACTTTAATATTGTTGGCGGAAAGGCTACCGGAACATATTTAATTCCTACAGGGTTTTATGGATTAGCAGACATGCCAGCTGAATTCCAAAAAGCCATGGACAAAACTATCAATCACGCCAAGAACACATTTTGTTTTCTGGATGACATTCTTATCGTGTCGAAGGGTAATGAAATTGAACATGGAAAATTGGTGGAAACGGTACTTAAGAACTTGGATGATGAAAACCTGGCATTGAAAATATCGAAATGTGAATTTTTCAAACAACAGGTGAACTGGCTGGGACATCACCTTTCAGAATTAGGGGTCAGTTTAAAATTTACCAAAACCGAAGCGATCCTAAATTTAAACCCACCAAAATCGCCTAAACAATTGAGATCATTTCTGGGCAGCATAAATCACTTAGCGAAATTTATACACAACGCGGCAAGCTTAACTGAGAAACTGAGGCCACTCCTCAAAGAAGAGAATCAAAAGAAAACGTTGAAAAACATGATGTTACCAGTAGAAAAGTTCGAGTGGGGGAGTGAAATGAACACACTGTGGTATTTGATGCCATAAAAACTGCAGTAGCGAACATTACAAAAGTAAACTACTACGACGCTAACCGTGAAACTAACCACTAAAGTGTGATGCAAGCCATGATGGCTTGGGGTCTACGTTGGAACAACAAAAAGAGGAAGGTTTGAGGGTTCCAATCTCATTCGCATCCCGGTTTTTAAATTCACAAGAAAAAAAATACTCAACAAATGAATTGGAGTTATTGGCAGTTGTTTGGGCAGTAGACAGATACAAACATAACCTCTTAGGTAAACCATTTACCATTGCAACAGATCACAAAGCACTCACATCAGCGTTAGATGGTAATAAGTCTAATAAGACCTATCAATCTCGATTGACCCGGTGGGTCGATCGATTGTTGCCATATCAATTTAAAACAGTTCACATTCCGGGGAGGGACATGGGTATAGTCAACTACGTATCGCGTGATACTCTTAATGATCCTTGGCCAGACTCAGAATTTGACGAAAAGTTTGTAGTGGCAACAATAAACTCGTTTCATGAAGCATTAGACTGCATGAACAGTAGGGTAGAAGGCATTGGGTCGCTCGAAAATGTTCTAGAATGTTGTAAAAGGAATGTTGCGAAACAGTCATCGATTAATGGTTGCCATGACAACCAAAACGGTCAAAAACGAACAAAGCTCGACCGGAACGAGAGAAAATAATCTTCACGACTGCCAAAACAGCTAAACACAACATTTCAAGAGAAACCAATCAATTTTTCGTCAATTCAACTCAGCAAACAGTCGTACCCAAAGAAAAGGAAAATAGTTTCATCCGTCAATAAAATTCAGAATAGAGAAAAAACAGACTCGGGGAACGAGATGTCAGAAAAT